GATAAGGGAAAATAAACAAATCAGTATTAAATAAATATGTCTACTAATGATGAAAACATATTGAGCGATTTCCCATGGATCACGTCGTTGTTCGTCCAAAAATTGCTTGACCAATCGGAACAAAGCAAAGATGTGAATTTAAAATCATTCATCGTGAAAAGATGCTTCAACGAGGGTGAAGGTTTTTCAAGCAATATGCTTTGTCTAAAAACGACATTCCACAAATCCAGAGATGATGTTGTTGACACAAAGCACACTGACTTCATATTTAAAATTGCCCTTCAAACAGAAGAATTCGATAAATTGTTCGAAGAAGGATTATATTTTGAGAAAGAAATTTTCGTTTATTCAACGATTTTACCAAAATTGAAACATTCATTTGAAGTAGTTGGAATGACGGTAGAAATTGGTCCAAGGTGAATAAAATGTTGTAATATGGACTGGACTGGACATACGGAAAAGTTTAATAGACATAGTCGATATTATAATTTAAATTCCACAGATATTTTATGGGCAACACCCAGCAGAGAATCCTTATTCTCGAGGACATGCGAGTTCAACAATTCAAAGGTGTTGATCTAACACATGGACTGGATATGGATCATATGAAATTGACCGTTGCCACTTTGGCCAAATGGCATGCTGGTACGGCTAATCTGCTTTTGACGGTAAGTCAATTGTGTTTCGTAACAGTTTGAATGTACAGGGAAGAGAGGAGAGAAAGATAGAGAGGGGGAGGACTAAAAAAAGAACACAAGAGAGATAAAAAGAGAGAAATAGATATGGACCAATTTCAAAAAGCCCATAAATTTACTCACAATGCTTTATATTTTCCAGAATCCAGATATATTTACATTATACGCAAAGAATACCTACCAAAATGCACCATGCGAAGAGGAATACTTCAAAAATGTTGCCAAAATACTGTCGGATACAGTACGGAATTGGCCGGGTTATGGACAACTGGCTGAAAAATTGGACAAAATACCACAAACAGCATACGATAATGCATATAAAGCATTTGAACCTCAAGCTAATGGGTTCAATGTTATTACACACGGTGACATGTATATAAACAATTTATTGTTTCGTTATGATGACAACGGAAATCCAATCGATGTCCGATTTGTGAGTATAAACCAATGTGCATTTTATTCTGTTTTCAATATAATTTCTTTTTTATGAAGAAATTCGATATACGATCATATTCTGGTTTCTCCATTTTCCTAACATCTCCACCCTAATCATTTTTTAAAAAACTCTATTTCAGATTGACTTTGCATTTGGAAAACGCACGAGCCCATCGATTGATTTGATTTTGCTACTGTACAGCTCTTCCCATTCGTCGATTAGTCAAAGTGATCGCGAGTATCTCGTTGAATATTATCATTCAGAACTAGTTAAATGTCTACAGCTCTTAAACTATTCGGGACACATGCCAACGTTATTTGAAATGCAGTCGACGTTTTTTGGCGTTGATTTGTATAATGCATTGGCGGTACTGTTTATCATTGGAATTCGATATAAGAATACAGTTCCAAGTGACGGATCGTTAGAGGTAGCTAATAGCTCTGAGAAGACAAATGATGACAACACTAAACTATATTCCAATCCAGAATACATCAAACATATGAAGTATTTATTGGAAATATTCGAAAGAAGAGGCTATTTTGAATTTTGACTAATTTGACATTGGCAGACAGAGCAAAAAAATTAATCCATATATCTCTGTTGCGCATAAGAAATAATAAAATATTTATCCGTTAGTTGATGAAATGGGATTTTTCCGGAAACATAAGATAAAACTAGCGACGAAATCCATTTGAATTCAAGGTTTGCGGCCTCTATCAATATATCGTATTCATTATTATCTCGCATTTCTTTCCATTTAAACTGATTGGTGTGCTCGTTAATCAAAATGTATTTTACCTTTGCTTACACATGAAATTTACTCATCCGTTTCGGAACTTAAACTGTTCAAGTCAAGATATAAAATGCAATAATGCAATCATTTTCTTTGTTCCCAATTTGTGGGAAAATTAGAGTATCAGCAAAAGCGATTGCACAATTACTCGCTATCATTAAAGAATCGAACCGCAATTGACAATAAAGAGTATGATGTTACAATGGTGCGCCAAATATATGATTCATTCTCAATAGAATTTTTTTTTCGTTCTAATTGATTTGATGCCATTATAGATTTTGTGATTTCAGAAAATTAAATAACCATCATGGAATCGATCTGTCAGCCTCTCTGATCGTCTGTACAAATAGATAGGAAACGTCAAACAAGAACAATAAAGCGGCACCTGGCGACTGGTTGGAGAAATAGAGAATCATGCACATAGTTTGCTGTAACAAGTATGCGTCTGTGTAAGTTCAAACGTTGAAAGTATGACACATTGCACTTAGTCTCCAGGTGCCGCTGTATTGTTTACTATTTTCATGATCAGAAAGGCTGCGATCTGTGATGCGGTTGAGATGTCAAATAGTACGCTCTTGTTGAGTAGTTTGCCGGCTGAAGTGAACAATAGTTAGTTAAATTATATGTAGGCTTGGAAGTTGAATTATAACTAAAAAAAACTAAATATAATTCATTATTATGAACCCACCTTTACACTGAATCAGCTATTGCCAACTGGAAGCTAGAAGCGATTTTCAAATCACATTAAAAGCAAACAAAATTGTAATTCAAGATATTTAATCGTGAGTTGATTTTATTGAATTGCATAGATAAATAACAAAAAATGGGTGAAAAGACATTTGATAGCGTTTGAATGTAATTATTTTGTCAATATCAATATGAATGTAATGCGATCTATGGTATATGTCATCATAGACATCTAAAAAAATTGCATTTGAACGGTATTACTTGAAACACTTTGTTTAAATCTATGAGATAAATTGTGTCATTCTATTTCAGAGCTTATGATATTGATTACGAAAAAAACAAATTGGAATTTATGGATTTATTTTTGTTCCGGCTGTGGCAGAAATGATTCCGGTTGATTTCTTTGAGATGAACCGCTTTGTTCGAACATCTTCTTGGAGTTTTAGCATTCACTGAATAAATTCTGTCCATTGATACACACACGGAAAAGAGGTTTAAATATTCGCTACGCCCAATTTTTTTTCCTTGAAATAAACCAAAATTTGAGATTTCTCAGACAAAATTTATTTTTCGACTTATAATGTAGGGTAAGGTGGGGCTATTCGCACCACTTTTTTCACAATTTTATATTTTCATGAAAATTGAAAAAAAAAAATCAGGAATGTTTGTTATCATTTTGTAGCTTGTCTTTTTACCTAACTTTTATAGAAGAAATGTTTTTGGTTTGATCCCCTTTGGGGTCCGATATAGCCCTTGGGGCGAAATCCAAAAATGGTGGGGCTATTCGCGCAGGTGGGGTAGTTCGCGCCACCACATGGGCTATTCGCGCCGGCCGCATTTTCAGTGTTTTAAATGTGTTTATCATCAGAAAAAGTGTTAGTGTTAGATTATTACATCCTTCGCTGATGTTGTGTCAAAATTTCATGGAATTTGGACCGCTAGAAGCGAAGTTATTATGCCTAAAGTGACACTACCTTTTTTCATCTGTCGACAGGCGAGTTTTGGCCCAAAATTCGAAAAATTGACTTTGCGCCGATTTTTATTTATCTAAGAAGTAGTAAACGCTTTGTCAAACCGATGGTACCGTTGGAAAGGTAATTGATGGGGCTACAAAAATACTCAGTCAACCACCCCCTCCGACCCCATTGAGGTCCCCAAAAAGACGTCGATTGCCCCTTGTGTTTGTGGCGCGAATAGCCCCACAGCATGTATTGCTGTTTGAAGCTCGATTCAGCCACAAAAATTGAAAATATTCAAAACAAATTTATATCCATAAGAAAGAGCTGATGATAAGCTACAAAATACATCAACCCGTTTAAAAAAAATATTGAATTTTAATGATCAAAGCTGAAATTCTGTGAGCTCGAAAAATGAACTCAGCACTAGCCCAAAACATGTTTTTGCCTTTACAGAGCCTGTACTCAAATGAAAAATATCGAATTGTATATCCAAATATCGGGAATTAATTGCTCTTCAAAATGACACTTGCAGTTTTTGTATATGTATTGCCTGTGTCGAGAAAAGGTCGATGGCGCGAATAGCCCCACCTTCCCCTATGTAAAATGGAGGCGCCGAAATAAATTTTGTCTGAGAAATCTCAAATTTTGGTTTATTTCAAGGAAAAAAAATTGGGCGTATCGAATATTTAAACCTTTTTCCCGTGTCTGTATGAATCGGCCCATCTGACCTCGATGAATTTCAAGTTGATCGATTGGTTTGACCATTTTGTTACCAAGAAGACATTTTCTTCGACGAAAATTGTCACTTTTCGTGCACCAGCCAGCTTTCCACGTTCTTTGTTCAATGCAGATGTATTGGGGATAATCGACACATTGTTCCAATATGGAATTTTTACTTTATTCAGTTTAGCACAATGTTGAAGGAATGGAAGTAGTAGATTGAATTAAACCTAACTTGAGCCGTTCGAGATGTGGGAGTTTTCTGGCGATGTTCAGTGAATCGTTAAGAGTAATTGGTTGTTAGTTCCTATAATAATGTTACTGTGTATGTCACAACTACGAACGATGAGATGCTTCAATGATTATAATCATTTAATTTTTTCATATGAATGTAATGCTGTCGATATATTTACGTGAGTGCTTTAGTATACTTTTTTGGTTTATTTTGGCTTTGTCTAAGATGTAAATAATTGCAGCTAATTATTTTGCGATGGACAAATTTTTTGAGTTTTTGAATTCAGAAAACATATTTAATCCAATCGTATGAATCGGCGCGTCTAATCTCGATTAATCTCAAGTTGATGGTTTCGTTGGACCACTTTGCTGCCAAATAATCCTTTTCTTTGACGAAAATTGCCACTTTTCTTGCATCAGCCAATTTCTCACGTTCTTTGTTCCATGAAGACAAATTGGGGACACCGAAGGAACATCGAATTTTTATTTTATTCAATTTGGCACAGTGTAGAATGAACGGGAGCACGTCTTTATTCGAATAGCAGAAGTATAAATTGAGCCGTTCAAGATTCGGGAGTCTTCTAACGAAGTTCAGTAATGCGTCGCTAGATCTGAACAAAAATGGATCAAGGGTTACTTCTTTGATGTGCTTTAATGAGCATGAATGTTGAAAAGGGATGTTATGTTTGATTATTGTCAGAATTTCTAATCCTGGAAATGTGGCAACGCATTATCCATTGGATGAAATCCCAAATCACAGACATCGTTTGTAAAAGCCTTGATCGTAAAGTTGCTCAAATAAATCGTAAGCCTGTTCTTTTTCATTTTCTTTTTCTTCTTCCTCAAAATATTGAATCGTAATGACCAAGGTGTCCAGTTGAATTTTACTCTTAAAAAGGGTGGTTTTGTGGCACCAAAGGCCGATCAGGTCAATTGCCAGGGTCTTGATATGTTGATTTTCCACGAAGAATCTCCTTATCTCTGGTTGTGACATTTTGCTTGAATCTGGATACAGTTCAACATGCTCGAGTTTTGGATATTTTCTGCAAAGCCATTGATTGTTGATCCCAATAATACGGTTTACCGAAAGAAACGCCCTGTATGGCTCGGTTATGGCACCATCACGAACAACTATATGCTTCAAATTTGAACAATATTTTAAAAAGCAATTATAGATTTCATGTCTGGATTGACAGCAGTTGAATTTAACAACCTCAACGGTGTTAAGGATCTCTTTGATGCAATTTGCACGGCATTTTTTTTATATCAACAATTGAAGTGAAGGTGATTTCCTTGATTTGCCCACTTTTAATTGATCCAATATAATGGAATAGTCTGTCATTATTGTCCACAACTTTGATTCTTTGTACACACGAGCGAAAGCCATCTAACGGTTGTCGTGAAAAATAAGACAAATGAATTCCATCACTACTGCACGCGAGCTCAGCTGCTGACAGATAACACTTGAAAAAGGTCGCAGCAATCGCCTTCAACCGCTTGCACGTTTGTCCAACCGAGTGAATGTCTGTCAACGAGAGCCATTCAAAGATTTCGTGGAAACAAGCGATGTCGCCCGCGAAAAGTGGCGGAGCTTGTTGCAAAAGTAGTGCATTCTTCTGGTGCTGTTCTGCGACGTGGAAGTCCCCCAATCCACTGTTGCTGGCTACTTCGGCATTTTCCTTTGGTTCATTGTTGCTGTTCCCTTGATATTCACTCATTTTGATGTCTCGATTTGTTGTTCCTGAAACGACGAACAATCGAAAGAAAATTTATTTTTCATTATAAAAACTGATTATAAAAAAACTTTTTTAGCTGAGAATCGACATTTCGAATCGAGTTCAATGGAATGTTCAGACTAATCAATGATCATTTCATTATCCTCGGATAATGAACCTACCTCCAGATGTGATTCCGAACGATGTTAATTTGATGAGTCAACCAAATGCAAACTGCGCAATAAATATACGCTGCTGTCGATGACTAAGTGAGGTTATCTCCGTGTGTATTTCTGTGTGAAAATAGGAAATTGTATTGAATTCATAATGAAAACAGAAATGAACTAGCAAAAATACATGGAACGTTTTCGTAGCAATGTTCCACTTGTCAAATATCAAAATGTGAACTAAAAATGCAATCAATCAATATCTTACCGATGAGCTAGCAATACAAAAATGAATCCACATTCACCGCGAGTTGACGATGAATTGTCAAATATTTTCGCCACGTTTATTGCCAATTCCATTGACAGTCGACGCATGCTGGGAGTGTGTTGATTCGACCACTTGTTACAGTATACTTTTGTGTGAGTGTAATGTGACGCTTGATCCACACATACTCTAAAGAA